CCTCAAACACCTAGGTATAGAAGGAGCATACTTGCCGGGCTCGGTGGCTCAGCCTGTAATCCCGCGCCTTTGGGAGGCTGAGGTGAGTGGATAAAAATAAATAAAAAATAAAAAAATAAAAAATAAAAAAAAAAAATAAAATGTCCATAACTGGTAACTCCATAGAGGTAAACAGATATTAGTGGTCACCAAGAAATGGGGGCAGGGAGGGATGGAAAGGTTCAGGGTTTACTTTGGGGGTGATAGAAATGTTCTGGAATTTGATGGTTATACAATATTGCAAAAAAATACTACAGATCACTGAATTGTATACTCTAAAATGACAAAATGGTGAACTTTATAGTATGTAAATTTTATCTCAATTCTTTTTTTTTGAGTTGGAGTCTCAGTCTGTTATCCAGACTGGAGTATGGTGGCACTCACGGCCACTGCAGCCTCGACCCACTAGGCTCCGGCAATCCTTCCGCCTCAACCTTCCAAGTAGCTGGAACTACAGGCACGTGCTACCACGCCCAGCAATTTTTTTTTTTTTTAATTGTAGAGACGAGATCTCACCAAGTTGCCTGGGCTGGTCAAGAACCAGCCTACTCAGGCAATCCACTTGCCTCGGTCTCCAAAAGTGCTGAGATTATAGGCTGAGCCACTGAACCCAGCCTTTTTTTTTTCTGGAGTTGGAATCTCACTCTGTCACCCAGGCTAGAGGGCAGTGGCACACTCACGGCCACCGTAGCCTCAACCTGCTGGACTCAGGCAATCCTTCCGCCTCAGCCTTCCAAGTAGCTGGAACTACAGGCGTGCGCCACCACACCCGGCTAATATTTTGATTTACTGTAGAGATGAGGTCTTGCCACGTTGCTGAGGCTGGACTCGAACCTGTGGGTTCAGGCAATCCTCTCTCACCTTGGCCTCCCAAATTGCTGGAATTATAGCCATGAGCTACTGTGCCCGGCGGCCATCTCAATTTTTTTTTTTTTTTTTTAGTTGGAGTCTCACTCTGTCGCCCAGACTGGAGTGCAGTGGCCACTCCCAGCCACCACAGCCTCAACCTGCTGAGCTCCGGCAATCCTTCTGCCTCAGCCTTCTGAGTAGCTTGAATTACAGGCATGCGCTACCACGCCCAGCTGATTTTTTGGTTTATTGTAGAGATGAGGTCTCGCTGCCCAGGCGGGTCTCGAACCCGCGGGCTCAGGCAATCCACTCACTTCAGCCTCCCAAAGGCACGGAATTACAGGCTGAGCCACCGAGCCCGGCTGGCCATCTCAATTTTTAAAAAATGTTTTAAACTCCCCCCACAAAGAGAACAGTCAGATCACACAGGTACTCCCCTCATCCCACTTTAAAGCTCTCAGTGGCTTTCCACGTCAAGAGGAGTCAAACCTAAGTTCCCTACTGGGCCCCACAAAGCCCTAACAGCCCAGTCCTCGGCCTCTACCACCTCTCCTGTCTCGTTCCCCCCTCTCATTCAGTTGATCCACTCCCCGAATTCATCCCTACCATTGGCTTTTGCCCTTGCTCACCCCTCAGCTTAGAATGTTCTTTCCCATAGCTAATTCTCATCTGTCAGGTCTCTGTCCTAATGTCCCCTCCACCCCAGAGAGGCCCTCCCTGACCACTGTGTCTAAAACACAGCCCCGCCACTCCCTATCTTGTTACTTTTCATAGTCCTTATCATCAGAAAAGATATGTAGTTTTCAAAACTGTTGATTTCTAGCCAGGCACGGTGACTCACGCCTGTAACCGCAGCACTTCGGGCGGCAGAAGCGAGAGGATTGCCTGAGCCCAAGGGTTCGAGACCAGCCTGGGCAACATGGCGAGACCTCTACAATAAATTTAAAATAAAAAATTAGCCGGATGTGGTTGCCCATGCCTGTAGTTCCAACACTCTAGCCTGGGCGACAAAGTGAGACTCCATCTCAAAAAAAACAAAAAACAGGTGACTTCTTTATTGCCAACCCAAAGGACAAGGACCTGTCACATTCGTAGCTCTGAACTTGCCCACCATGTAGGCAAGAGGTGTTTTTCTGAAAGAGTGGATTTATTGAACTGCCTGTAAGATCTGAAATGTCACCTACTACCTGGCCAAGTCCAGGGTGCTAAGTCATTAACCACACCTCGCAGGTGCTCAGGGAATTCATGAGCATTTGCTAAGCACTGGTGACGAGCCCTGCACCAGGCCTATCTAGAATCCTGAGGAAGCCCCTCCCCTCCAAAGCCTGAAAGTCTATTAGGGGTCACAAATCACCCAGTGTTTACCCAGCAACCCACAAACAAACACAAAGGAGAGATCTAAGATTGCATTGCTGACTCCCAAACTGGAAGTAGAGTCCAAATTCAGCCTCATAAAACTGTGTACTGGCAAACGCCCTCTGATATAGCCTCTTATGACTTTGCAATCTGACCTGTTCTCCAGAACAAGACGGTTGCAGCTCACACCTGCTCCTACCTCCTCCCGTTGGCGACTTTCTTTTCAGAGGCGGTTAAAAGTCTAAACAGGCAGGTGGTGACGGCCTCTTCCCCTTCCCTTCTCCTCCCTACAGCACCTCTGAGCCTCACACACACAGCAAGTAACTTACCCACTAGGAGTTTGACATCTCGAACCGTGAAATCAGGGTCCGGCATCCTGGAAAAAGAGGAACACAGACCTCTGGTGAGAAGCCAGAAACAATTAAGTTAGACCCTATCTTGGACCTAGGGGAAGCCATTTTTCCAAGCGGGGTCCTTTGCTTTCAGTTTGGAAATTCAGAAGGAGATAACCCAGAGGGAGCTCAAAGGAGGGTCACCTCAGAAGCACTGATCCCTTCCCCATCGCAACAGCAACCCAAATCTGAGGATGGGACATCCACCATCCACTCCACTTTCCTGGGAAAGCTGAAGTGTAATGTCAGGGGTAGGGGCCAGAGCTGGTCATTCAAACACCTGCTTTCTTTTAGGCTTAGTAGCCCTTTCTGTGTCTCTCCTCCTAGAAAATACTCTCCATAAGAGGCTATATGGAAGCCGGGCTCGGTGGCTCAGCCTGTAATCCCACACCTTTGGGAGGCTGAGGTGAGTGGATTGCCTGAGCCCACGGGTTCGAGACCCACCTGGGCAACTTGGCGAGACTTCATCTCTACAATAAATCAAAAAATTAGCTGGGGCG